CACTCCAAATGGCTAAAATCAAAACCACCTGGGTACATTTCAACCAAACAAGAGACCATAGTTTACTCACAGCTCTAAGGAAAAGTATTAGGAATAGCAGGATAGGAATACAGATTGCATATTTGTTTTGTTTCCAAAAGTAGCACTTTGGAATTAAAAATAATCTTGGTTCAGGGGCATAGAGAGAGGTGCTGTTTTGTTGGCGTTTTTTTAACAAGTTTGATGATTGGCTGATCAAATGGGAGGAGATGGGAAGCACAGACACCCTCCTCCCTTAGCAGCCACACAAGTATCATACAAGGCTTAAAAGCTTAATGTGCATCAGTTTCATGAAGTTCTCTGTGATGGTTACTCTCAGACTTTATGGATCATGATTATTATCATATGAATACCAACTACGCTTAAATGTCCTTCAATAGTTTTCCAGATAGCGCATTACACTCGACGGCAAAGGAAACTACCAGGGAGCCCATTAATTTCAGTAAGAGGAAAGATTTCTGTGGTTTTATGCACTTTCTTAGTTTGAGAAATACTTTTAAAGAACTGATTTTATGGCCCACTTCTTTGATTTGCAGCTATTTGATATACATCTGTGCTGCATCACTTACATCTTTTAGTTAGAAATTGCCAAATCTATTGTCAACCAGAAAGGAGCAGTAGTCAATTTAATAGCTTCAAAATATACCATCATGGATGTCAGGACACTTTTCTGCCACTGAAAGACAGACATTATGTTTCACTTGCATACACTTTAAGAAAAGCCAACATGAAATAATCTGAAACACAAAGAACATGCACCAGATTCCCATTCTCAGTATCAGTATTTCTTGTAATAACAGAGTTTAGTCTAGATCAGACCAGAAATGGATCTCTTGCCAAGGACAGGTTTATGAGGTCCCCAGCACTCCTGTGCCAGATCTCTCATTTCTCTGCCTTTCCTGGTGTCTCTGGTAACAGAAGCAGCATACTGGTGCAGCTTCCACCCATAAAGGCACTACCTTTAATCTAGGTGGTCCTACAGAGCTAGGGAGTCAGTACATTACTTCCTACACAGTAGACTTTTGCAGAATTATTTCAACACCATAAAATGATAACAGGGTAGTGTAAAAACTCTTGCAGGTAGAAACAGCTGCTTTTAAAGGAGAACATACTACAAGCCATTTTAGCATTATTTTACCAAGGCTGTAAAGAGCTCTCCCAGGCTCATCTCTGTTAATTGCATCTTTGCAAAGCACAGCCAAGCAGATGCAGAATGATTACTTCTAAGTGCTACTCAAATAGCTCTGAATGGGCACAGGTAGCTTTCCCCCTTTCCCTGTTCCTCCTTGCTGTTCTTTGACTTCACATACAGCTCTAAAGAACCAAACTCTCCACTCAGATGATGCAGGTAAAGGAAGATTCAAAGAAAGATGACAAGGTTTGTCACGAGCAAGGAAAACAGTTTCAAAAACTACTGGAACACAAGCTGGTTTGGTGCTTTTTGGCAGCTTTTGGACAGAGCCTGATAACCATGATGAAGAGGCTGCATTTAATGCAAGGATAATTTCAGAGTAAAAATCGCATAACCTTTCTCATCAGTGGATGATTAATAGAGGAATTCTGCTCCTAATGAAGTCAGCCAGCCCCCAGACTCCTCTGGTATATCCCTTCTTGTCATCTTTCGCATTCAGCTCTGACTCATCTGCAACAAACATTTCAGTCCCTGGCCTATTGCCTTTTAACGCCATTCTTTTTACAGTAGGTTAAGTACATACTTCATAAATGCAATGAAGTCGATGGTGGACTATAGATACATAACATATTTGAACTGCATCATGAAGAGACACACCTGAGTTAGCTTTGGGGAACTTAAATACCAGCGTCAATGAACACAATACAGGCACATACCTCAGCACTGGCTAACACCTGTAAAGTACTTACATTACAGTCCACACCGAGGCTTGTGCCACTGTGGCTTCCCTGTTGATTAGCTGGACTGAACTTGGATACATCACAAGGTGCTACAGTCCCACCTCCAGGAACAGCGCAGCTGCAGAGTGAGAGGTGATGAAGGGGCTCCTCTTTTTGGGAGCAGCAACCAGAGCTGTGCTCCAGCCACAGAAGGGCAATGCATCCACAGTGCAGAAGGTCTGTGCCTCTGCACAGAGACAGGGTGACAGGGAAGTCCTTCAGATGGAAACAAGGACTGATGGTTACTATTAGGCCCTGAAGTACTCAATTTGAGATGAACTGTAACTGAAATGACCGTGGCTTTTAGACATCAAAACACACTCTCAGGCCTGAAAGCTTCTATGCATTTCCCAGTTATTTGCATAAAAGATGTCATCTTTCCAGGTTTTATTGCTATTTCCTTGATCTACATAGCATCAAATAGCCAAGTTGTCTTTGGGAGATTATTTTAAAGATTTCTCTTTAACAAAAGTAACTACAAAATTTAAGTGTTCTAGTTTAAAAACAGTTCCTAGTTAAACAAAAAGTCCTTCTTCACAAAGTATCTTTTCAACTATATTTAACACCGATACAGAGAATGGAAATCTGATGTGTGTATCTGTGTGTTACAGATTACTTGATCCGATTTGATTAAAAAGTCAAAATTACGATAGTATTTCACTGTTCCATTCAATAAGAAAATTATGACCCTACTGTATAATTATGCCTAATGCAAAGGTGGATTATAATTCACGACATACAAAATGGAAAAAAGCTTGAGAATGAGCTTTTGTCTGGTGAGAATACAAGCATCTTCCTGATCAATTATCTCATGCACATTCAACCAGAATTGCCTCACGGCATACTCATTAACCACATGTACGTCACAGCTGTGTAACAGAACATAGTTTTCTATAGGTTTGTACCAGCCACTGAGTGGCAGCAATTCCTTCATACCTAAATCTGAGTTATGAGACATAGGATGAAAGTTTCAAAGTATTGCTAACTCTTAGTTCTTTTACGCTACCTCTAAATTTTTTTTATGCTTAGCATCCCATACAACCATATAAATAATTCCTAGTGAAATACCTCGTTACGTGTTTCAATTTTTAGACTGCCAAAGTTTCAAAAGTTATGTAGCTTATTCTGATAATCATACAAAAAAAAAGTCTAAATCTATGTTTTGCAGCCTTTTTTGTTTCTTTCCTTAGTATCTGAAGGCTCAACCATGGGATGACTGAAATCTATCAGTCCAAAGAGGAATATCTGATTTTTTAATACAGTCATTTTCAGTAACTAAACTAAATAGGAAAAGCTGCACATACACGTATTGAAAAACATGCTTATGAATTATTGCTTAACCACTTAATAAGCATTTCATAGTATCTTGTTCAGAAAGCTGTATTGGTTAGAGTTGGTTATAGCTTCCTATTTGATCAGTACAATGGTGCACGGCATTATTTGACAGATGGAAAGCCAAGAGGTTATCTGCTGGCTTATTACATTGTTCATGGACTAATGACTGTACTAGACCTAGGCCCAAGTAAGATTTAAAAGAAATTACACACAAGTCCATCTAGAATTTTGACACCAACCATACGTAGAAATGTTAAATGTTGTAATCCAGGCTTTAAACAAGTCTCTAAAACTAGAAAATGATCTAGCATGAGAACTGATTATAACCACACCTGTCTTCACTGCAGATTCAGTTCGGTCCTTGCAAGCATCCAACTGCCAAGAGACGGGATACAGGGAAGTATCACCCTTGTACATAAATCTCCTGCAAGAGCTCCAAGGTCCAGACTGACACACTGGTCTGTACTGCTTGACCAAACCAGAAGCGAAGCGGTGCAACAGTCAGAACACACAAGTAAACGGATGTCAGATGTAACCACAGAACGCCATAATTCAATTATTTTAATATTTCATACCCTAATGCAAACGCGGAATTCTCTAGCGGTGAACTGAAAACTGTGGGGTGCTTTTTTTTAAGAGATGCACGCCTGGTATGTACACAAAAGCAACAGGCACTCCTGCCCCTTCATTGCGTATTGTCTGTCGCCATTCAGCTGGAAATGTGACCACTTTAAAAAGACCTGATCCAAAGCCACTGCCGTGCAGGGGACTGCAAGAGCACCAACGCCGCTGGGCGGAAAGAACCAAACCCAAAGAAGCTGGTGCAATCAGACTTGGCGTTTCTGCGATAAGAAAACTCCGTGTTTCTGTGAAGCACCGCAGGGACCTCGCTGCCTCCTCGCACGGGGCACAACCAGCTCCCTCCCGCCGAGCCTCCCGCCGTGCCCGCCCGTTCCTCGCCCGGGGGCTGACAGACTTTCTCGGCTCAAGGTCGCGCTTCCCCGCGGAGCGAATGAGCCAGCCCCGTCCCCGAACTCGGCGGCGGGGAGGTTTCGGTGGACAAAGTCCGCGTCCGGGCCGGCCCCGCGGGGCTCCCACCGCAGCCCCCCGCCCCGGGGAGCGGAGATCAACATGGAGGCGAGCCTGAGGAGGAAGCCCCGCAGCAGACGGCGCCCCGCCGCCGGAGCAGCCCCACCGCCTCCCGCCCCGCAGCCCCGAGGGAGCCGCTGCCCCCCGCCCGCCCCTCACGGCCGCCTCACCAGGACACACACCGGAGCGCTGGGCTGAGCTCGGCCGCCACTCCTCTCTCCACCAAGAGCCCCACGGAAGGCGGCTGGGCCGAAGGGAGCAGGAGTCCGTGTCGCTTCCTCATTCACCCCGCGCCAGGCGGGGCAGGAACTGCCGAGCAGAGAGTCCCACACGAGGGTCAGGTACCAGCACTCACCCACGTCCAGCGAGACGTCGGGGGCCGCTGCCACGCCGAGTTTCGAGCTCCGTCCCAGGAAAAAGAGTGACTGAACGAGGGCGGGAGAGAGCCCGCGGGCTCCCTCCGCCACGGCCCGGCCCGGCGCTCCCCGCCCCGTACTCCCGCTCCGCCCACGGGGCGCAGCTGCGGGCGGCGCTCACCTGCTGCCGCCGCCGCACCGCCGTGCCCCGCCCCGGAGGCGCTGAGGGTCGCCCCTTACATTTCTCTTCCTCTCGCTCCCTCTCTCGTTGGAGACGCTCGCTCTTGGGAGCGCCTCAGATGTTGCCTCCACGGCCCCGCGGAGGGCCCCGGGCTGGCCGGGCGCCCACGCCGCGTACCTTGGTTCTGCCGAAGGGCCCTGCCGCTCCCCGGCGCGGTTGAGCTGGGGAGGCTGCGGCCGGAGTGGTGTGAGTGCCGCGTTTGAGACGAGGAAATGAGTTTTGGTTTTTTAGTGTTGTGGGTTTTAGGTTTTTGTTTGGTCGCCGAGACTCGAGGAGCACTGGTTTGAGGAGCCGGAACTCGTCCGGTGAGCGTCGGTGTGTGCTCCCGCCTGGTGGGGAGCGGCACCGAGGTTGCCTCCCTCTTTTGCCATGCCTCTCTCTTCCAGGTTATTATTTGGAGTGTTATTTGCTGGTTTAAAAGCCATGGATGTAGTTTTAATAACGGGGCAAAGCTGGGTAGGCTGTAGCCGTGTGAGCACAGGCGTTACCTCAGTGATTTACCTCAGGAGCGGCCTGTGCTGGTGCGCCCGGAGCCAGAGCCCGCCAAAGGGCTTTCACGTCCCGGCCAGGGCTTTTCCGCAGCCTGTTCCCATCTCCAGCTAACGAGACTTTCCTTCAAGCCTTTGGTGCTGCCATCACCAGTGTTAAATAAGGTGTTTCAGGGATGGGTGGTAGCACAGGAATGTGTGAAGTGTAAGAAGCAGAGAAAACACCATCGTGTTCCTGTAGGAATCCAAAGCAGACCTTTGTCATCATTCTTAACTCATCCAGGCCAGGTGTAATTACTCTCCTGCTTTCAGCTTAAATGATCTCATTCTGCAACCTGTGGGGAAACTCCCGGTGTTTTTTCATGACCCTGTGGTGACTGCGGGTGTTTCTCCAGGCAGGTGCCAGATCATGAGGTGCAGCTGAGGGTGCCAGTGCATTGCCAGCAGCTATGGCCCAGCTGCTGCACGGCTGCAGAGCCACCTCCAAAGAGGCAAATTCCACCTGTTAGGTGGTCAGTTTCTTTCCAGAGTATTTCACTTGATATCTGTGAGGTTAATGTGGAAGTGTCTCAGTTTTTGTGCCTGACATCGAAACTGAAAGGCTGTAATGCACACAAAATCATTCCTGTTAATAGCTTTTTTTTTTTTTTAATGTAAGGAGTTTAATTTGAAGAAACTTATTTTAATGCAAAATTACCCAAGTGATCATCACGGTTTGGGTGAAAGCAGTGGAGCAGAGTCGTCTTGGGTCATTTTGGTTTTAGTTCTGCTGCAAATTAAACTAGTATTGTGTACAGATGCGTGTCCTTATGCATTTTTAAGTGTAATAAAAAAAAGGAAAATAAAATATTTTTTTCCTTTGGATCAGCATATCATCTCATTGACTGTAATACTATAATAAATTGCATGAGGAGGCTCATTTGAAATCAGATTGCTGTTACACTGAAATCTGAGGAACGTTACATGCATGAGCAATTCATGAACATTGTGTTATAAAAGCAAAACTAAAGGTAGTTCGAGTGAGAGGGGAAAAACTGTGGCCAAGCAGTTTTCCTTATTTCAGTTCTTCCAATGAAGTCTGGCAAAACAGAAAGTGCTTTAAAATGTTTTATTTAGTTTCATGTTCTTTGGGTATTTAATGTAAGTGGTCAGAAAGAGTCCATTTTGGTTTGTGACTTTACCATATAATGTTGCAGCAAGCCATTTGTTAACTACCGCTGCATTTCAGTTATTTAGGGAATCACTTTAGTGCAAGTCTTTTTGAAACAAATAGTCTTTTCTTGTTTGAACTGTGGAAAATTTTGCAAGGTCTAAGGAGATTTGCATTTTATGTCTTTGTTTAATCAGCTGATGGGTTTGAGTTGAATTAGGACTGAGTAAAGATGTAAAAATTTGATCCACAAAATGGAGAATCTTCTCAACTAATAGAGAAATGTGGCTTTAGAGATTTGAGGTGTTTCCTGGTACTGAGACTTTCTTGCTAACTGATTATCCTCTAATTTTGCTTTTAAAACTCAGCAGTACAAAGTGCGTGGTAATGCGCTTACAGTTGGAGATTGTCTTTCCTCAGAGTAGATTCTAATGCAGCTCAGAGCTTTATTAACACATTTTACAGGCAGTGGAGTTGCAAATGGGAGGAAAATGAGTTCTTACTGAACAGCTTTTAGCAGTGGTCTATGTCAGCTTCTAGGTAAGTGGTAAAGCATGCTGGATTTCATTGAGATTACAACGTAACTACTGGAAAATAAAAGGTTAGTCACAAAAACAGGGATGGGGAAAGGCATAGGGCCACAGAGATATGGGCATTACTGTCTGTGATCCATATTTCTGAAATGTGCCTTTACATATTTTGTTTTAAACAGTTTGAGACTGTTTTCTTTTCAGATTTCATCCCTTGGGTAGCTGGACAGATAGTCCGTTACCTCCCAAACCAATGGTAAAGCACAGCTTTGGTACAGGAAAGCTGTATGAGATAAGATGGAGATAAACTACTAGGGCCTTCTGCAGCTGGATTTTTCTCTTGGACTTTTGCATGCAGAAAAACCTCCTTTGCCTGGGGACACTTTATTTTTGCCATATGACATGATGATGGTAGGGGCTGATGTGACTTTGACCCCTTTCATGTGTATAGGGAAAAAAAAAAAAAGAGAGAAAACTTTCTGCAGCAAGTCTAAGTGAAAGATTTGTAGTGGAAGTTAAGAACTTGTTCCCTGAAGACTTCAGAGCTAGATGATACAAAACATGTTTCCAAAAGTGGGTAATCACCTTTTGTGAGCTGAACCACTATAACTACAGTACCTGCTACCTCGAGCAGGCAACCCTGGTTTTCATTCTGATGGCAGATACTTGATTTATACCAGGATGATTACTTATGCAGAAGTGTCATTTCAGAACCGAAAACAATTGTGGCGGTTATGGCCAAGTTCTTTTTCACAGCCTTGCTCTATAACAGGACTTCATTGGTCTCTTTCCCAAGCCTAACAACCAAATGCTTGTTCTCATTTCCTCTTTTCTGAGCGTAGTTGGGGTGTGAAGAGTCTGTGGTATACTGTGTAGATTCACCTTCTGAAGTGTTAGGAGCATTGTGTGTTGGTCTTTATTCAGCTTTTTCTTAAAGTTGTGTTAAAAGGCTTGTATTCTCTATAAAGCTTTTCTCCTCCAATTTTTCATACTTTTCTCCTTGACTGACATGAGCTCCTTATGGATTAGCAATGACATAAATACTGAATTTGGTCACAAGAAGGTCCAGCTGTCATATACATTTGGACTGATGTCTAAGTGAAAGAGAAATTAGCCTTTCTTTTCTGAAGTCTTGCAACTTTAGAGATTATTTTGATAATGATATAAATGAATTTCTGCTGCTTATCTTTGCAGTCTTTTTTATTGACTAAGGGTTTGTTTTTGTATTAGTCACCAGGCTATTTATTGTGACTTACAGTTGAGTTGGTCTTTCTTCCTTTTCAGGATTTGCTTACGTGCATGTTGCAAGTGAGCAAGCTGCTGTGCCTGCATAGAGCTGTAACTGGGTCAGGAAGACTATCTGCAGGTGAGACACTGTGGTTAGGCATTACATCTAGGAGGAGCTATCATATCTCTTTAAATGTGTTGTGTTTTAGAACTTGCAGTTGCATAATGTTCAGTGCTTAATAGAGTTTAAGTAAAAATGATGGATTTATTTTGTTTTTCCTGATGGATGAGGTGTAGAAGTTAGTCAACAATTCTGGGGAGGATTCTGATGTCAGATGTGAGCATTTGAATTTCTCCATATTTGTGTAAGCAGCTTACTGCAGAGTGGTTTTTGTTATCAGATGTAAGCTTTAAGAATTTGAGATTAAAACTGAGATACGCTTTGTGTCCCAACCATTCTGCAGTTTTACTCATCTGAAGAAACTTTTATATATGATTCACTTATAAACCAGGTAAGAAAATAGTTTCCTGACAGTTTTGCTGACACACCCGCCTATCGAACATTGCAAATTCTTCTGATGTTTGATGCTTTTAAAGCCTTACTTCCTTGACAAAGTAATTACATTAGTATCTTGGACACTTTTCCCTCTTTCTTAAATGAAATATATTTTGCATGTTTGTATGGAAGATTTGCAAATGTAATCTTGGAGTTCCTAAAAGATTGAAAATCTGGGCTATGTATAAAAAGAACCCCAAAATCTCCCCAGGTCTTAAAAATAGTCCCTTGCTGCCTTCCTTTGTTGAGGCTGGGAGACAGTTTTCTGCATTTTGAACATTTGAGATTGTAGTAGTCTTAGTTTCATCCATGTTTTCCAGAAGAATTTAAAAAAAAAGAGAAATCGTAGACTCATGGACTGGGTTAGGATGGAAAGGACCTTAAAGTTCATCCAGTTCCAACCCACTGCCACAGGGAGGGATGCCTTCCGCTAGATTGGGTTGCTCCAAGCCCCACCAAACCTGGCCTTGGACACTGCCAGGGATGGGGCAGTCACAGCTTCTCTGGACAACCTGTGCCAGTGCCTCACTGCCCTCACAGGGAAGAGCTTCTGCCTAATATCTAATCTAAATCTACCCAGCATAAGGTTGGGTTTCTGGGCTGCAAGCTCATATTGCCAAGTCATGCTGAGGTTCTCCTCAGCTAACAGCCCCCTAAGTCCTTCTGCTCAGGGCTTTTCTCAATCCATTCTCTGCCCAGCCTGTATTTGTGCTTGGGATTGCCCAGATGCAGGTGCAGGACCTTGCACTTGGTCTTGTTGAATTTCATGAGATTTGCATGGTGCAGTCAATATGCCAGAGGAAAGGGATGCCATCCAGAGGAACCTTGAAGACTTGAGAGGTGGGCCTGTGCAAACCTCATGAAGTTCAACAAGGCCAAGTGCAAGGTCCCATACTTTATGGTGTTTACTGCACACACACGCGTACATTGGGTTTCAGCACGCTAGCTGCCAATGTTGATTGTGAGCAATGTAAGTGTTCTACTTCCCCTTATGATAGCTTTACTTTGCAAGGTTGATACGGTGGTAGAATGAGGAAGTGCAATTGATGCAATTTTCTTGCTCAGCCCAGTTCTAGTCATAGTTGGTTTTACATCCCCGTTAGTATTGGAGAAAACTGCTGTGAAAGAATGTAAATTTCTGATTTCTTGGTTTGTTTTTGGGCTCTCTTTTGAAACAATTCCATTTGATGTTTGGTGTTCATGTAAGATGCAGGAGATTGAGATTCTGTTTCTGCACAGAATAGAGGCAACAGAGAGGGAGACAGTTCACAGTTCTGTGCCCTGGCTTGGACAAGGGGGAGTGATGGTTAGGGTTTTTTTTTCTGAAATATTTTGATTTGCAGCTGAAGTTGTCTCATCAGTCAGTAAGAACATGGTGGAGACCATCAAGTCAACGAATTTAGGCCATCACATGATTTGAGCTGGCAGTACCTTACGCTTTTGCTGCTCAGCTGAGAGGAATGAAGAATCGCAGCAACTACCATACAATCACCTGAGGCATGCAAATCTGCTGAAGATGGCTTTTGCTTTAAAGGTGAAGTTTCAAGGGGTCAGGTATTAAGAGCTCCAACATTCAGGAAATTACCAAATGATAGTATTTGATGAAATTGTGAGACGTTAGGTTAATGCACATAGGTTTTGTTTTGATTTTAACCCTGTCTGATTTATGGATGTTTCCAAGGACAACACTTGTGCTGTGTTCACTGTGAATCCTGGAGCATTAGAGCAGGCTGTTAAGGCCTGCTTCTCTGTCACTCACAGTGGCAGCAAGATATGGCTCTTGGGTGAGAACATGTGAGTGTGGCTCTGCTCTTGTGCTTTAGCCCACGTACTCTGCTGTTGACAGTGGGCAGCTGGGAGAGGAAGGACTGCTCTGTCCTATGCTCTGCAGTGAGTGAGTGGGGCTTGCAAGGCACCGTAATGAGAGCTGTAGAACCTGCCCCCCCTGCCCCTGGGACAAAGGGCTAGTGTTATTTTTCAGATTATTGTCAGAAGTTATTAATGAAAGTTTTGGGGTTTGTTGTTTGTTTTTTTTTTCTTTTATCAGTGTAAATTGTTATCCAGAAATGCAAACTGCAGTGGCATTAGTGTGTGTGTGGCAGGGGTTTGTCTGCTTAACATGCTTGAGTTATACTATCAGACTGTGCAAACAATAACATGGATCAGTCCCATGCTGTGACTGGAACAAGGCTTTCTTTGCAGAAAGGAAAATATGTCCTATTGTGACCTGGTGTGAGGATATGGGATCCTGAATCCTGATTTCATTGGTCAGCTGCGCAGTTTTAAAGCATGGTTTGACTATGGCAAATGAACAGCTTTTGGCAGCTAGTGCTACTAACTAACATTTAGTTCTCAAGTATTAATTCTTTTTTACTTAGGCTGTATGTTTGGGTATTTTTCCTTGTTAAAATTATGATTGATAATTTTGGGGTTTTGTCTTCCAGCCTGTCCATCTTAATCAATCTACTTGGCTGTACTTAGGCATTTATTAGTTAGACCATTTTTGTGTTATGATAGTCATTTAGTAGGATCTATTTTTATTGGTACAGCATATGCTGTTGTCAAAAGCTGAGCACAGTATCAGTGAAAGAAGTTAATATGCAAAATAAATCCCAGTAAAGCTTTAAAATGAAAGCAAACGTCAATAATGAAACTACAGACTGTGTGTATTTGCACAGGAGGAGGGTGGAAGATTGATGTCACCCGCCCCAGGCATGTCACAGTTTTGTTGACCCACACAGGGAGAATTTGGTGTAGTTAATGTCTGGAGTCATGGCATAGATGTTGAGTCATGCAACCCGAGATGTCAACATGCTTCTCTTCCCCATGTTGCATAGTGGCTAGAGAGAGTGTTTAGTGGAGATAGTTCTTCTGCTTTCGGCTCGCCAGACTCCTATTACATGTGCTTGGTTACTGCTGTTGGTAGCAGGGTGAAGGTCAGGATTTGACATGGCTGTTTAAAATACGGTAAAATAATAAAGCCACTGAGAATATTTAGTTTTTAGTAACAGTAAAAATCCATTCTCTCCCTAGGAACTTAACTGTTATAAAAATAAATTGAGGCTGCTGGCAGCAGAATTAAAGAGGAAAAGCCCATCTGCAGCAGAGCTACTTTGCAAACATGTTTCTGAAGATAGGTTATATTGTTAGAGGTACTAGAGCCAGTATTCCAGACATACTTCCTGAATACGTTTTGCTGCATGTCTGACCTCTTTGCATCTGGGGCATTGGTGTAACTGAGCGGTCTGTTAAATCTCTTGTCAAAATGTTAATTTTGGGGGTGTTACTCAGAGGAGACTGTAGATTTGCTGCTTTTTGATGCAAGTATGGCATCTTATGTTTGTTGAATCCTGATGTGTAGCCTTCCTCTTCTGCACTTTGGAAGTGTTTATGGAGTCACACCCATGTTTCTGATTAGCATTGATTTGACCCTGTATGTGTTTGAAGGTAATGCCACTTGGAAATGTTTTTAAGTATAAGCAATTTCAAGTCAGTTGGCCTGTGATCCCTTTTATTTTTGTAAAATAATTATTTTATGCATAATTATTTGCATAATGTATGATTCAGTATTTTAGTGTTTACATTCTTTGACACCGTACAGAATTCACAGAATGGTTTGTGTTGGTACCTGAATGCGCAAGATCGATCCTACCTGCATGACCTATGACATGCCTGAATGCATAGGGTGTTCTAGTAGGCTTCGTGTCCTAGACCCCCATAGGTACTTTTTGTCCAGTTTAGTATTAAATATGAATCGCTACCTGTTCATTCTCATGATTAAAAAGGTGCCTGTGTTTTTTTCTTTACAGAAAGGTAAATGGAAGAATGATTCAGATATCTCTATATTAACCGGCTGTGTCTCATGCTGTCAATACAGTGAACTCTATTGCTAAGGACAAATAGATGCTATTTTTCTTTATTGGTCACAGTACCCCAGTGGTTTTACTTTGCTTGCAAACTTTAGAGACAGGTTTGCTGTATTTTCAACTATTTTTACTCTGCAAAAGTTGTAGGAAGGCGTTTGGAGGCAGTTGTTTTCCTGACGTTTCTTTACTTTCCGCTGTAGGAAAGGATATATTCTACGTGCAGATTTAGAACTGTAGGAAGCTTTTATTATAAAGAGGATGCCAGTGATATAAATCATTTGGAGGAGGAAGAGGTGAGAGAGGAGGTAATAGTTCCCTTATGTTTACCCAAACTTTCTGTTTTCAGATAGGCCGAGAGTAGAAGAGAGGAAGTAATTTCTGGTCTAGTTAAATATGTGTTTTTTCCTGCTCATGCTTGTAGGAAAAAATATAGGTTCAGAACAACTCTGTAGCAATTTAAGGACTTCAGAACCGTTGTTTGTTCTCTGCTAATGATTTTATATCTTCCTCCTTAGCAGTGGATATGTTAAAGCAGTAGGGTGAATACAGTTTGACCGAAGGCCTTATAGTCTTTGTTTAAATGTAGATGAATGTACTCTACAGAAGAAGCAATAAGTGCCACAATTTGTGAAAGAAGTGTAAGTATCACTATTTGTGAAAAAGAGCAGATTAAATTAGTGCTGTGCCTGGGTTCCTCTGCCAGCACTTCAGAGTACCTGACTCAGACCCCTGTTCTGAGTTGCCCTATGGAGGACAGTGTTTCTTTGCATTAGATAGAGGGGAAGTATGTTGCTTCATTAAAACA